TATATTAATACCAGCATTATATATTCTCTTAAGCCTCTTGCACAATGGAAGAAATAGCGATAGCGATAGAAATAACACCAGTTTTAAAGAGTTTATATTTATAAATAACGATAGGAACAGCGGAATCTCTAACATACAAGAATACACATGTACCGATGCAGATCAGAAAACGAAATAAGTAATAGCGATAAACTTTCCAACGAGTTGGAATTCTGTGTCTATTGCTTATCTCTATCACTTCTCTCGCATTGTGCAAGAGGCTTTATATTCTAACTCAGAGCCGGCGCGATTTTACACTTCGGAACATGCTGGCTTTGGTGTACGCGTTTGTTTATCTTTTCGTTTTCTACTTTTTAGCTCGAAAACTAATTAGTGAACAAGCGAGAGAACCGAAGAAAGCAAAGCACATGAGACGCTTCGTGCTGGATCGTGTACGAGCAACACAATTCGGCAATTCACTTTCGATCTCTAAATCATGATTAGTCAATTCTGATACTCGCACGCGTTCTAGAAAAGAAGCACATCGTGTGCCGCGAAGTGAAACGACCAAAGCCAGTGCTCCGAAAATGCAAAATTGGGGGCTCCGAGTGCAAAATTGCACTCTGGCCCTGATTCGAACGCTATTTATTTATATTAACACAAAAAATGGTTCATTTGTCCATTTGCACGCACATGTTGTGAATTTTTCAATCTTTTGACATTTGTTTCACAAATTTCTCTTCTTTTTTTACGCGGAAAATAAAAATCTAATTTGGCGCTCGATTGTCTCGGTTATAAATGTAAAGTGAATGTAAAATAGGATTTTATAGCTATTTTTGTGTGTGCCTCTTTTTCGCGCGTCACGCGTAATGTGTTTCACGGTCAATTACTAAATTCGCCCGCAAGGCGAAATTCGTTTGAGCGGGTACCAAAGTTTCGTGAACGTGAAATAATAATAATGCTAATAATAATGTAATAAATATTACGCGCATTATTCGAGTCACGGTATAAGCTTTGGAACTGAGGGTAGGTAACTTAAAGTAATCGACTCCAACAGTATTACGTCTCATTGAATGTTTATATTTCTTTTACCGTTTGCTAAATCTGTTGCGCATCGAGAATGGTTCAGATTCACTGTCCTCATCTTTCGGAATTTTAAACACACGCAGGCAACTTTCTCAAGTTAATAAATGATAAATTGAAACAAAAGAGAGACTTTTGTTGTTTGCAGGATTCACGATCATTAGTCAAGTTAAACAAAAATAACCGTGACGGGTGTAGAAGAAGAAAATAATTTGCGATCGAGTTTAAAAGATTAATCGAAGAGAAAACTCGTGTACTTACACGCACACGAAAGATGTACGGACTGCGAGTGTGAAGCATTCTCTTATTCACTTCTTCAACATGTTTTAAATTGCGAGTAAATTTATGTACAAGTTTTTTTTACATCTTGTTAAAATGTATTTCCTGTAATATGTGTTCGCGCTATTCGTACTCGAAAATTTCGTCACCGATGCTACACATCTCCGTATCGAGGTATCGACAGACAGGTTTGATAATTAATTATTTAGCGTTGTGTATGTGCGCGCGATAGTCGTCGTTTCAACACACATTTTCGTGCGTGTGCGTACATGATGATTGATGCGAGATGATGGGTGATACAAAGCGAAAAAAAACAGAGTTACAATAGAAGAAAAAAAAAATTTAATATATGTGTATATCTGGTATATGCAACTCGTGTCATAATAATTAAGACTCTTTAACGAATGATGAAGAAATTGTTTAAAATAATACGAGAAACGGAAGAAAAAAAGTAAATCACAGAAAGAAAAAAAATTGTATATAGAAATGATATATATGACTTTAAATTACTATTATCGCACATGATTGTATCTAATTAATAATTATTTAATATATTGCAAATATAAATGGTACAAAAAGTCTCAAAGTTTTTGTTTCTTGTTGTATTCATGATATAATTACCCCTATTTATTTCACTTCGTAAGAAATTTTTATATGAATCTTGTGCAGTTTTTTTCTTATCACTCGGTTTGAATATGTACTATATCGTCCCTTTAATATCGATAAGTCTAACTCGAATCAGAGAGAAGACTGAGAGCGGCCAGAGTCGTGTGAAAAATTAATAACTTTTCCGACTTGAAAGTTAACACTATGTCCATTGTGGTGCACATGAGCAACTAGCAGCCATGTCTACGAGCGACTTGTCGGTGCGTGCAAACGTGGACAAGGTTATATTCCGCGCTGTATCCACAACGTACAATTCTGGACCTCGATTCTTGAACAATTTGCGCATACGAAAGTCTATAGTACATGTGACATTAACAGTAGAGTTTCGTATACGAAAGTTGTTCAAGAATTAAGGCCCTGTTTTGTTCACATCCTGACAAGTTGAGTTGACATTTTGAACGGTTAAATTTATATATCGGTTGATTGGATTCACATCTTGACCAGTTAAGTTGACATCCTCACCGATTAAATTTATATCTCGGTCAGTTAAATTCACATCTTGACCGGTTAGGTAAAGTATTGACCTTACCGAAAGGTCAATGACCTTTAACGAAAGGTCAATGACCTTTGCCGAAAGATCGATAACCTTTGCCGAAAGGTCAATGACCTTTGCCGAAAGNCGAAAGGTCAATGACCTTTGCCGAAAGATCGATAACCTTTGCCGAAAGGTCAATGACCTTTGCCGAAAGGTCAATGATCTTTACCGAAAAATCTTAAATATTGAAAACCTATAGTAAAACGCTCGTAACTTTGAGTTTGCGCATACGTTTTTCTTACGAGTGAGTTGAAGAATCGGGCTCCTAATCGCTGTCATTCTTCTCTCTGATTAGCAATGCTAAGGCCTATTCTACAATACAGTCGTAAGCTGTAAAGGGTCGTCTACAATGGAGAGTTTTAGACTGTAACAGTAAAAAACTGACAAATCACAATCGATTATTCTTCTGTACTTTGCCTGTGATTGGTCAATTTCTTACTATTACGGCCTACAACTCTCCATTGTAGACGGCTCTTAAGAAAGAATTTTTTTCTTCATAAAGAAAGAAAGAAATTGATCACTCACAATCGATTATTCTTCTGTAACTTCTTTGTGATTGGTCAATTTCTTACGACTTACAGCCTACGACTGTGTCGGAGAACAGGCCTAACTTAGCATATGAATTTGTTACTTTATGGTTATGTGTTGCCGGAAGTTCCGGCAAAGATGTCGCTTTTGCCTGTTAGCGAGTAGCGCGTGCAGTTTTATTTCGTCCCGCATGCGCACCGGCTTGCTATTGGCCAATTTCTTTCTTATTAATGCTTCATCACGTGAAAACGTTACGTCGTATCTTTGTCATAGACGTAGAATATATAGACTGCGCGTTTGGCTAAAAAGATGTCTTCATGATTGACAGAGACAACATACTTTGAATAGTAACTCTCTCTCTGTCTATCAATGTCTGTGGTGGGATCAGGGCCTACTGTTTCATACCGCCTAATCTGCCATCACTTAATCTCTTTCATTCATCTTCATTCCCCCACTATTTTTCTATCCCCACTTTTCCACTACTATTCTATCAATCAGCGAAGACTTCTTTTTCCCCCACTACTTCGCTAGACAAAATGAGGCTACTGCTCAACACCAGCTGTCTCTCTCAACGTTGAAGACATTTTCTTAACACGGCAGAGGTAGGGAACGCGCAGTCTATACAATCTACGTCTATGATCTTTGTAAAAAAACAAAAAAAAAAAAAACAAAACGTGCAACAGTGAAAGTGCTGTAATAAAGAGTTGTTAAAGCGAACCGTTGACGTTAGCAAATCTTTTCCCTTTACGCGCGTTCCTCGTTGTTTTCTCGCGCGTCCTCACAGAAGAAATAACTATTTTTCCCCACCAAAATCTTTACAATTATGCATAACTCAGACGAGAACAACATCGATCTGGAAAATTGTAGAAAATTGGTCAAATCATACATCGATTTGGTAAGTTTCGTTGAAATGGAATCACGAAACCGCGATGCCGCAAGCTTGAAGCTCGTGTATGTTACTTTCAGCACCTGTACAGCGCCGCTTTGTTTTGGGCTGACAAAGTGGTGTCACTTAGCCAGGAAGATCCGAAAGATGTGTGCGTTTTAGCGCAGTGTATGTATCTTATGAAACAGTACCATCGTGCTGTGCATCTTATCAAAAGATACGGACTGGAAAAGGTAATTTTGATAAGCGACAATTGATTAGTATTTTTATGCATTTTTGTCTGTATAAAATCTAATAATTTATTATTAATAATCTCTTGACACACAGACCGATATAATGTGTCACTATTTAACTTTGAGGTGTCTGCTAGAAGCTAGGGAATATAATGACGCACTTCAAATTATTAATGACTATGAAATATACATGAGCATACAAGCAAGCGTCTTTCACGATACTCCCAAAAATGCAAGTACATTTACACATCCATTTGTGATATATATGTTTGCAAAATCTGTGATATAATTTTATTTCTTAGCGCTAATGTGCACAATTCTTTCACAGGTTCAGAGTTCAATATTATACATAAAAGGAAAAATATATGAAGCTATGGATAACAGAGCAGTAGCAACGGAATATTACAAACAAGCTTTGCAGCGTGATGTTTATTCTTACGAAGCATTCGAAGCTTTGGTGCAAAATCAGATGCTTTCAGCTCCTGAGGGTATATTGACATTGTTTCTATTATTATATATATATTTTTTTTTCAATCGAGGTATGTGCAGGTAAAATAACACTTGCTACTTTATAGAGCAGGAACTCTTGGAATCTCTACCCTTTTCTGAACAATGTACAAAAGGTGAAGCAGAACTCTTGCGACTGCTGTACGATAGCAAATTAAAGAAATATCAGGAAACGCCAATCACAAAGGAATCAGTAGCTACATGTAGTATAATGGGTACTTCCGTCAGTATTAGATTAGCAAATAATTTGGACATGGTAGTGGCAAAGGCTGAGAGATTGTATTATAACTGTGATTATCATCAATGCTTTTCTCTCACAGAAAAGTAAGTAGTAATTCTAAGTTATTTATAAATCAGAGAGAATTTTTATTCACACACATACAAGAAGCGTAACATAATATTTCCAATGCTCAGAATATTGAAAAAAGATCCATACCACAATTCCTGTCTTCCAGTGCACATTGCCTGTCTAGTCGAGCTCAAAAAGACTAACTGTAAGTTTCTTTTCTATACTGCTGCAATAAATGACGGTGCTAGAAATTTGTTAACAACTAGAACTTTGTTCGTTAGCTTTATTTTATCTGGCACATAAATTGGTCGATTTGTATCCGGAAATGGCCTTGGCGTGGTTCGCAGTTGGATGCTATTATTACACAATAGGTGAATTAAATTTTGGTTGAATATGTTTTCAAACGCGGTAAAGTACAATATATAGATTATTTCAACGATATTGCTATGCGTTCAAGGTAAGAGTGATCAAGCTAGAAGGTACTTAGCAAAGGCCACCGCACTGGACAGATTGTTTGGTCCCGCTTGGTTAGCGTATGGACATTCTTTCGCGGTGGAAAATGAACATGATCAAGCAATGGCTGCTTATTTCAAAGCCTCACAACTAATGAAAGGTTGTCATCTTCCGCTTTTGTACATTGGATTAGAATGCGGTTTGACGAACAACTTAAAGCTGGCTGACAAGTTCTTTCAGCAAGCTCAAGGAATAGCAGCTAATGACCCATTTGTAATACACGAAATGGGTGTAATATGTTTTTATAGTTCAGAGTAAGTTTTTATCGTTTAGAGTATTATTTTGCTTATATTTAATATTTTTATTATTATCTGCATTTATAGTAAAAAAAAACTTCATATTTTTATGTTGATGTAAGTTGTGAAGAATTATTTGTATTAATTGCAGTTACAAAAATGCAGAACGATTATTTAAGGAAGCCATGAAAAGTGTTCAAGGCGACCTAAGAAATGTAGTTCTGCCCAGCAAGTGGGAGGCGCTGCTGAATAATCTGGGACACACTTGTAGAAAAATGAAAAAATACGACGAGGCATTAGAGTATCATCAACAGGCGCTAGTCTTAGACCCTTTGAATCCGTCAACTTACTCGGCGATCGGATTTGTTCACGCTCTGACGGGCAACATTCATGACGCGGTGGACGCGTTTCACAGAGCGCTCGGTCTCAGGAGAGACGATACGTTTACTGCTACCATGTTGGGTTCTGTGATGGAACGGTTGATCGAGGAAGCGCCACCGTATCCTGGTATGCGTGCAATTGAATTGATATGTGTCGCAGAAGTGATCTTGTAGTAAAATAATATTGTAAAAGGATTCGTTTATATACAAGTGTGAATCTTTCAGACGCACCTACGGAAATACCGAAATATGGATCTGTGTCTCAAGATAGCGAATTGAAACTTGTGTCCGAGTCTGAGGATAGCGAAGTTGAATTGTCTATGAAAAATTCCATCAACATGGCTGGCAGTTCAGACGGTCAGAATATCGACAAGTTAAGGGTAAATCTGTTCTCCGGTAGCTGGGGAGAAAACTCCAGTGGAAAAGGAGAGAGCAGCACGTCCAACAAACTGGAGGGACAAACGCGAGACGTACTAGTTGTTAATTATTCGACTGGTGATGCTTCTGAAGTTGAGATGTTAGATTCGTCGCACCCCGCACACATTGATCACTCGTACAATTAAAACTGCAAGCTTTTTTTTTTACGTTTTTCAATCGGCACCGTGTCAAAGCACTTCGAAAACTATCACCGAATGATATTTTATCGAGTGCTGAAAAAATAGGAAAAATATCGCAGGTAAAAAAATAGTTACGTTTCTAATCAAATATATACATACACTGTGTGCTAAGATTTTTTATGTGTGCTGTGTGATATATCACAAAAATAAAAATTGTTTAATTAAGAAAGAGTAGAATTTTCGCCTGAACGATATTTATTTTCCGCATGTAAAATACATTCAATATAAATAATGTAATATTTTTTTACATTATCATCTAGTTTTGATATATATACCTTACGACATCGTGCAAAAACTTCTTATAGTAAGATAATTTACTTCATCAAATTGTACAATATGATTATAATAAATGTGTTAGAATAAATTTAAAAAAAAAATAAAGAATACGAAAATTTATTATTACATTCGTTTATAAATCGTTGTTGCGAACTTTTTCTACATCCTTTGATTCAGTGTCTGTTTTTTATTGAGTTTTTGTATTTCTATACCATTGCAAAAGAAAGAGAGAGAGAGAGAGAGATAACGAGGAATATAGTAGACGCGCGCATTTTCGCGGCATATTCAAAAGCTCTCGTTACGATTTCGGAGGAGATTGCGTGCAAAGAGAAGAGGGGAGAAACAAGAGAAAGAGAGAGAGAGAGAGAGAAATAAAACGCCGTACAAGAGAGAGAGAGAGAGAGAGACGGCGTAGCAGGATCTTTAGTTCGCTTGGGGTGGCACAGCATGTGTGCAAGAATGGGCGTTTCATTTTCACCGCCGTGTCGTCCGCGATAAACCGAATCGAGGTCATCAGGAGACGGCTCTTTGCTCTCGACGAGGGGAAGAGAAACGGCCGGCGGACAGCAACGGCGAAACGTGGCACGAACGTTTCGCGAAATTCGGGTGTTAAAATCTCCCACCGTGCGGATTACATTCTTCGCATTCATCCCGAGAAATCCACCCCTTCATCGCGCTCTACCACCGCCGTCGCCGCCGTTCGCTCTGTTCGTCGTCACACCGTCACTCGCGCGTAACTTCTCGCGCTACGCGCAACATTCTCACATGAAGTTTGCTGCTTTTATCGCGCGTTCTTGTTAGTGGCGGACGACATCGAGTCGGCGGCTCTCACTCGTCCGTGCTCGCTCAGGACCGTGCGAGAGTGTCGAGCTGACTTACTCTACAAATTTACTCGTCGCCGGGATCCACTTAGTTGCAACAGGATCTTCTGACGAATTATCTTCGCGGATATGCCCACGCTCATGCAGCCGGTAAGTCTCTTTGACGATAAACTCCGTTTCTTTCTTTCTCTCTTTTCTCTCTCGCTTTTGCTCTCGCGAAACTATAGGACTTGATTATACAGAGATTCAATAATCAAGAGGATCATCAGAGGATCTAGATTGAAGTTTAACAGCTTAACTCTGCGAGACGTACATGTTTTATTGTATACACTTTGTAAAAGTTTGGTCGAAAATTTAATTAGCCTCTTTCGTTACGCAAATACCAACATGAGGAATCAACAAAATCACGATATTTGTGGATGTTGAAAGGAATTAGAGACCGACCGGTTTGCCGCTCTCTCTTATCTTTGCTCCGGATTTGTTATCTTCTTTATCCTCGGATTTTTAACGCGTTTATCGAATATTCGACGAACTTACGTCGAAGAACGTATATGGTATGGTATCGCGATGGAATGTCCTGCGGTCTGTGTGCGAAACGTAAATAAACACGCACACATACGCGAAGAAACGATACGCGAGTATCTCTTTGCATATACGTGAAAAATAAATTACCGTATCGCGCCCTCTGAAATTTCTTCGGTGAAATTTGTGGGTGCGAGTATTACGCGCCGGAAAAAGGGCGAAAAAATCGATGCGATACGTGCGTAAATAGCCAAAAATTCAGGCCGATCGATCTAAGTACAGGGGTGAGAGTTCGATTGCGGCGTTTGAGAACGATAGGTATACGCGTTGCGAATTCCTCCGATGCCTTCCGTGTCGTTCCGAGGAAACGTCGGTTCCCCGACGGGGAGTTATTCTCGAATTCGCGGAATTTCGCAGTTTCGTCCGTACACTTCCAAGCTGTTTCGAAGCCAAAATTTTTCGCAAAAAAATAACCCAGAAAATTGCGAAATGTTGTTCTTATCAGTTGCCATATTAACGTTATCGTTTGTACGCGAAACTTGCGACAAAATTCCGAACGTGTGGCATTCGACGGGGAACGTCGTGATTCGATAGATAAACGTAATCGCGGAATCATCTTCATCTCTTGAGCGGATCCCGCAGCGTCAAGAGATCTTTTCGGAGAAAGAAATCTTTTCGGTGGCGTGTTACAAATACAAATTCACACAGGAATTTCGCGTCCGCGAGAACAAAAAAGCGGAATCGTATGTCACACACGATGACGTGTGAACGACGAAACTAACATCACGTGTTTTGGATATACGGATATACCGGCCTCGATTCGACGTTCAAAAGCCAAAATTCCGAGAAAAGTGTTGGAATGTGTTTTCCGTGATGCCCGTGTCTGTGTACGCCGCGAGCAGAAGAATTTTTTTTCTTGCGAATTCCATAAACGCGCGCCACACTGCGGATGTGTGGCGTCCTTCAGGAGGGCGCCCTGTTTTCGATTACTGCCGCGCGCGCGCCAGTTCGTTTCGGTTTCTCGGTGTTCGCACCATTCGCGCTTTGAATACCGTGCGGCCGGTCGAAGAGCGCGGAATCGTCCGATTTCGAAGTTACAGCGAGAGCCGCACGTCTTTTCCTATTACACGAAGCTCCGGAAGTACACTGCACGGTTGCGACAAGCGCTACGTGGCGGTGAGATAACAACACAGTGGGAAACCGTGAGTAGATACGTATGTGCGATTACGCGAAACATTGTGTAAAAACATATCGAAATATTGCGAAAGCCGTATTTCGCAGACAAATCGAAGATACTCTGGAAAAAAAAAAAAAAAAAAAAAAAATCGTCATCGAATTCCTTTTTAAGCGATCTAATATTTTTTTGTTTCAAAATTAGACGTAAGTATTGAAGGTACGACATTCAATGTATTTGCGTGGGTGATTTGAAATATTTATTTAACACAGTGTGCGGTATGTGTGAAAGTGTAACTCCTAAGAAGTTTTCAGTCTGTTATTATTTTCAGTTTGTTATATTATTAGAAGTAATTTTTTTTTGCTTTCGGAACCTATGGAATCCTTAGTTTTTTCCAAGTTGCGAAATTCTCCATATGACGTCCAATATTTTCACTGAGATAAAATAATAATCACAATTTAGAGTGATTTAAACGAAAAATGTACAGCATTGTTTGCGCGAAACACTTTGGTGGTATCTGCGAGCATTACAGTTTGTCTTTGTACCAAACGCGGATTGATTAAATTGATTTTGTATGTAGTCGGACATCCAATTGGTGAACGACGAGAGCGACGAGACGGACATCGTGTTCGATCGAGGCTCATTGATGCATCAGCAGGATCTGTTGCACCCTCAGGATGCGACGCAGAATCGGGAGCGCAGCAAGTTGCTGCTACGCAAATTGAGTCAGACCCGCGAGAGAGAACGCGGCCAGAAAGAACGCGAACAGGAGCGGGAGCGATTGCATCAGTTGCAATCGATCAACAATTTGTTGCTTGATTTACCATCGCCGCCGTCGCCCTCACATCTTCCTACCTTTTCGCAGGACACGTTCTCATCCTCTCAATCGGACAAGAATGTAAGCAATGACGGTAAGGGAGATGGCGATGTGTATTTTTATTCTTCTTTTATGGGTAATATTATGCGTGAAAACTACAGATTTATTTTTAGGGTTGTAAGTTGAGAACTAATAAAAGTTGAGATTACAAAAGCGATGTTCTGTAAAGTTCTGCGGCTTCTGCGGAGATTGTTCGAAAGGTTATAATCTTTATAAGTTTTTTGGAGTGTTCCCAGTTCTGTACTAATATTCCTGCCTGCCAAATGGCCTGCCTCGACCTTTACTCCTCGATTGTAAAATGATCACTTTGTCACGTTTTTTTTTTCTTCTCTGTGATATTAATTCCTCTTGTTTTTCTGTGCCAGGTGACAGCTCGATCTCGGACATGTTCGGACTGGGCTTGCCACGCGGATCGCTGATGGGAAACCAATCGGCGGCTGTTGGCTCTCCGAGTTACCGTAATTACGGCAGTTACGGTCAGAGTCAGGGGTCTTCACAACCGTCGCACGAGGTAAAACGTTTTACGTATACGTGCAGATCTATCTTTTTTGAAATTTGTTCAAATTCGAAATTCTCAATAACATTGTCACGATATAAAAGTAAAAACGTGAACTCTCTCTTTCCGTACTTTCTGAAAACAAACTACGTGCGACAAAGATATTTAAAGCGGCTTTTTATTACAATTGGTAATAGAGCATGCTAGTAGCAATAGGAGTAGGTGGATCGGTGGGAGTTAATAATGTTAGTGTGTTACGATAAAACTCATTATCTCGAACATATAAGTAGGAGTATAAAAACTGCCGTTTCGAGCGCGAGCAAAATAAAATCTGTTAATTGACACAATAAATATATTTAACAACGCGATGTTTTTAACTAGAAAATATTCTTTGTTATATTTGCAAGTTTTTTTTTTTTTACTTTGTAATCTTTTTATAATAGAGTTCTTTCAATGTTGTTTCACGAAAACATTTATACCGTAGCTACGACGTTATTTTTCTCGCAGAAATTGCTTGTCTTATTATACGTAAGAAGATATCCAGCACGAGAGACAAGAATTTGAGAAAAAGCGCAATCGCGATAATTAATTTCGGCGGGTTGTATATCTACAGAATGATGATAAATGTAATATGTAAAACATATTGCTAGACACACTCATTTGCTGGTACATAATAACTAGAATAATGATCATTCACATTGGAGTAACTCCAACTTTATTACTATATTCATCTTTCTAATTTAGGTTCTAATCGATCTTTACAATATATCGTACATCACGTCTCGAATTTTACGTTTTTGTTTTTAGCAAAATATATGAATTTTGTATGTATAACTATTTCTATAGTAATCTACGGTAGAATCTTCTATAGAATCTTATAAATTACTGTTCTCTATAATAGAGTATCTTAAATTATTGTTATAATTTCTAGATTATATATTAATTGTCTTTTATTAAAAATATCGCATCATTGTATTTTGAAAATAAAAAATTACAGATCTTTGATAAAAAAGGTGCGCACACATGTACACACATATTAGGTATAATGACCCTAGCGAAATGAATAACCTGGTAGAACGATTTTGATGGCCGAGAATCCTCTTGATGCGAGCCAAACGGCTCTATTAGAACGCACGTCGTTCTCCCACCCTTTAATACGAGCTGACGCAAAGTTGCTGCCATTTCAAAAGATAGCCGTATGTCCTTGTACCGGCTATCACGTAATATTACGTTTCGGAGTATTTGGACGTGCTCCAAATACTCCAAAACACATGTGCGTATAAAGGAAAATTATTTCGTTTCTGTTCACGGCTTTTCGAAGTGCTCGTGCTTCGTTACGGTTGTACGAAACTACAATTTCGATTCTCGACGTGTGAATATGAATCAATATGTTGCTTTTTATGCACCGTTTGCGTCAAACGTTACAAATGAACGTAGTAATATTATTTGTTCGAATCCGCAAATTCAATCGCGAGATGATATCGATCTTTATTTTGTCTGTAATATGCAGAATCACACATACACGGGATAAAAGTTGTTTTAAATAACGGTTTCTTATAAATGACTCGCTGTAATTCGATATGAATGTGAATAATGAACGTGACGCGTGTGAGAGATACTCTGTGATGTGTAATTTTTTTTTTTTTTTATCATTTACGCGCAGTGTCTTCGCAATCACGGCTTCTGCTCGAATTCCTCGGGTTTGGATGTTCCAAGTTCACCGAATTCGGTGACCACTCCAGGCAGCCCCAGCACCCCCGGTAGTTTCTCGTCGGATTTCTACAGCTATTCGTCCACTGCCAGCAACAGTACAAACACACCGTCTTCACCGACTAGCCGACTGTCGTTCCAATATCCCGGATCTTCGTCATCACCCGATAACACTTACTTCGGCCGCCCTATACGTGGCTGTTCTACACCGTACAGGTAACGAAAAAACTAGAAAACAACAAGAGAAAGAGAAAAAGAGAGAAAGAGAAAAGTATTGCATTAAAAATGTATTTTTATTACACATCTAAATAATAATTGATCAATGCTAGTGATTGTGGTAGTCCGACGTTGGAATTCTCTCATCTTCTGGGATGCAACGGCTCGCGTTCTAACTCGCCAGCGGATTCAGAGACAAGTGGAGTCGGTAGCGCGGATGGTTCTTTGTCTGACATAATAATGGTACTTTTTTCACGAAAAATTGTTTTTGTCTTTATTGTTTAAACTTTGCCGTGTTTATCTTCTAACTATCGATCCATGTTTGTAGAATTGCTTATCGTTGAATTCTTCATCGTCGAATTCTTGTTTTCCGCCATCTCTGGATTCTATAATATCGAAAACGAACACGTGTCCGAATAACAGAACAGCGTTCGAGCGTATGGCTGTAAAGAAGTACTTGTCATCGTTACAACAGAATCCAACAAATCAGCATTATTATCAACATCATCACGGACTCGGGCAAAATCGCAGCAATTTTCTCAATTCTCTCTTGAATCACGAGAAGAATTGTTGTACCAATCTTGGAAATGCTGCGCGCAGATTGGCTCCTGTGTCGCTTGATAGAGTAGCGAGATCCCACCGAAATGCTGCTGGTACGTAATAAGTACTTATACTGTATATATAGAGGAAAAAAGATTATAGTCTCCAATTATCATAATTGATAATTGCTCCATTAAGATTAATAGAACCCATTTACTCTATTCATCTTACCTGACCGCAAGATATTACAAGAATCTAGTTTCTCCACATGAATTTATTTAACAAATTAAATATTTGTATAAACTGTGAAAAAAGTATGGTATTAATTTTTTTTTTTTTTTTTAAATAACGAGATTTATTTATTTTAGCGCATTGTTATCCAACATGCACATGGAGTGGCTTTCTGCCACAAAGCACTGAAGAGCCAGTCGCTTATTCTCCCAAAGTATTTCTGGGAGGTGTACCGTGGGATGTTACGGAAGCTATTTTGATTTCAACATTCAAACAATTCGGACCAGTTCGCGTCGAGTGGCCTGCAAAGGCACCATCCGCTCAGCCGAAAGGATACGCGTACATAATATTCGAATCGGAGAAACAAGTAGGCGCTTTTGTTACTTAATCATTGATTCGATGTAGATTCATACGTACATGCAAGAAAACGAATTAATTTTGTTTGATGCAAAATTCATACAAGTGATACACTTTCTTTTACAGGTCAGAGCAATGTTGTCCTGTTGCACTCACGATATTACCAATGGAAAAAGATGGTATTATAAAATTATATCCAAACGTTCAAAACCAAAGGATGTAAGTTAATTGGCAACACTTGCACACATTTGTAAAATTATTTTTAATACATCTTTATTTCTTAATTAATCCGATTGTTTTCAGGTACAAGTGATTCCGTGGATCCTGGAGAATAGTAACTATGTAAAATCTTCATCACAAAGATTGGACGCGCATAAAACAGTATTTGTGGGCGCGTTACACGGAATGTTAACAGCTGCGGGATTAGCTAAAGTCATGGATGATCTTTTCCACGGAGTCATTTATGCGGGTAATTTATTTCAATCTAATTTGTAACTTTTTTTTTACAATTACTTAAGAATAAAATACACATTAATTGAAAAATATTAATGGTTTATCTTAGGTATCGATACGGATAAATATAAGTATCCGATTGGATCCGGCCGTGTTACATTCAGTACGAAACAGTCATACTTCAAAGCAATTACTGCTTCGTTCATAGAAATTAAGACTGACAAATTCACAAAAAAGGTACATATACAAGAACTACGATATCGAAACCAGTCAGTTTCTATATGAAACTTTTATATATATATATATAATTATTATATATTATATATTATATATTATATTTATATATTATAATTATTTATATATATATAATTTTTTTTGTATCTTACAGGTACAGGTGGACCCTTACATCGAAGAATCGATATGTTCCGTATGCGTTGTGCAACAAGGACATTACTTCTGTCGCGATGTGGTATGACAATTATTAATTTTGATGCAATTCTAATTTTATTGAGAACTTCCAGATTGTGCGTCCGCATTCTTGTTTTACACACATTCATTTTCAGGCATGTTTCCGATACTTTTGCCGCAGTTGCTGGCAGTGGCAACACTCAGTGGACCCGATGTCACATCACACACCTCTGACACGAAACTCTAAGACGAACCAAGTGATAGGATTGAATTCGAATTTCGGAGTGAACAACTGTTCCCGTGTGTCTAATACGACGATGATGTGAAGGAAGCGACGTTCGAAAAGGTCCTGTATACGCGCGGCTACACTTTAGTGTTATACACAATTTTTTGTTCGCCCTCCTCTCCTTTTTGTTCCTGTTTGACTCTTTCGGTTAACCGACGTTGCGCCGCCTGATTTAGAACATTGGGCAAGAGGGTGCAGACTTAGTTTTTTATTGCACAGTCGCGGACAATCAGTCCGCCGGTACGGTGACACGCCGATTCGTACCGCCGAAATGGAGCTTGCGAACGCGCAACGATTGGCTTATTTATCGTTGCCGTGCGTGCAAGGACAAGATAAATATTGGAAATCATGTTTGTCAAAAAGTTCCTATTTACGAACGCAGTCGTCTTACTACGTTCGAGCGCAAGTTGATGTACTTTTATTTAGTATATTTACTTAGAGAAGAAGGAGAGAGAGAGACAGGTTCTCTTATCGATGATTTTTTTTTTTTTTTAAATAATACTATCGTGCCAACAGTAGATACTAGTTTACGGTCATGATCGTGTATTAGAAAAATTTGTATACACACACACACACACACACACGCGCGTGTATACAATATACACGTCGACTTCAGACACAAGCGTACATAGTTATTTGTTTTCGTCGAAGCGTTGTGAGATGGAATTGTGGCTTTCACAGTGACAATAAATTTTTACGCAAGATGAGGTAAGCCTCCCGTTATGGTGAGTTGAGCTGGGCTCAATAAAACACGTAGAATCCTCAGGAAATCTATAATAGCATCGTTGCCATCATGCGTTCGTGTTGAAATATTACGCTTAATTATGTGTTATTACATTGATAATGCTTAGAAGTGCTAGACAGATCATTCTAGAGCGAGTAATTGAAAGTAATTGTGCGATAATTATTTGTTATTATTTACTTTACACGTAATATATCCGATGTTAATGTGATAACGGAAGACTTTCCGAATATAATTATACAAACGCTCTCGCTGGTCGTTCTTCCATTATGATACTTGTCAATGACGTTAAACATGGTTTATTTTTACGTTGCAGTACAATGTATCTCTACATTCGGTTGCGATGTAAACGCGTGTTACGTTTAGCAACTGCAATCGACCAGATTTTTGTATTAGTTGCCGAAGCGAACGGCTGATCACAAGTGTTTCGCTCACATAAGGACTGTTTAACGGTTGACGAAATGGAGAAGCACACGGTCTACGATTCTGGCACGGATTGTAGGGAAGTGATTTGTTTTTATTTTTATTTTTTTTTTTTTTCATGTTTTTTCTTACTACCTTATAATTATGTTGCACATATCTTCTTTAAAAGTTTCTATCTTTACTCGCCTTTCTTCTATTTTGATACGATTTTGTTGAAAATTAAAAATCATATTTTTGCAGATATTCGATACTTGTTTTTTTTTTTCGCCACTTCACTACATACTCACCAACAACTCTTTCAGCTTTGTCCGTATTTGAGTAGTAACAGGTGTGTGTGTGGATTAACACAAAACTTTGAAAGTAAACGCAAGGCTGAAACAGTTGAAGATAATCTTTTACCCGAATTTCTTTTTGTTTACTTATTTTTATGTTAAACGTGTTAAAGTGTGACAAAATATTTACCTTGTTAAAAATTTGAGTTTTAAAATTACGTTTCGGAGTTTTATTTATTTATTTTTTTTTTTTTGTTATTTTAGCAGTAAATATAATTAAGACTAAGGAAAAATAATCTCGACAGTAATACACTCAGCTGTGATTTACTTATGCAGCAAAAGTGTACTGTGTGAAAGAAAAAATTATATTGCGAAACAAAGCCTAAGACTGTTCACATCCAAGTGATAACACAATGAATTTGCACGCAGTAGTTAGAAATTAATATAGCTTCTCTAAAACAAAAAGAGAGAGTAACTTTGAATCGATACAATATATATTATATATATTCCGTTAAATACATCACATGTATATATATATATGGTTCACAGATGATGATAATAACGTGGTTGCTACATATATAAGCAATTATTAAACAAAAAAAGTGCTTTAAGGTACATCGATAAAAATTATATTCATATTCGATCAAAAAACGCTTCACATACATATACTGTATGTATATTTCACCGATACTTAAAAATTCACAAATTACTCTATAATAACACAGCAGTATTATCGATTTCAATAATATAGAAATTGTAATCGAAAACAAGTTTTAACCCTTACCTACTTACAGCACATGTTGTTTGAGGTTTCAATATAAGTCGTGCCTTTTAACGTAATCTTCATAGATTTTTTTACACGGCAGATACGAGATTTATTTTTCAAGCCTGTGCAAAAGCCCGAATCTTTGCATGACAATTTACACGTGCTGTCTACGCCAATATGCAAAGGCCTTTGAAGTTTTATATTTTATATAATTAACATAAAATGATCTGATTATATCTGGCACGGTAGAACAATTTAGAGAAGAATAATAATAATCGTCGAGGACAAATTTGATAAAATCAATTATTTTAATTAATTATATTAAAATATGAAAAGCCTTTAAAGACTTGTACGAGCGGAGAATCGTATTTCCAATTGTCAGGACTAAGAAATTCTGGGCCTTATAGTATCAATTGGGATAATCGTGAGACTTGAAATAAGTGCAGCATCTTACGCGACTTATTTTTTTAACCATGTGATTGCGTGATATATATACATAGACATTATTTCTTAAGAATTTTACCATATGTTTAGGCGAGTTTGATGATCACTTTTTATTCCCTCGATTTTACACAATGAGAGATTTTAAGTAAAAATATTACATGTTCTAGTGTGGAATATACACATATTATATATTTACTTCTGTGTCAAGATTATCCGGATTGACATAGAGATGGATTTATTATTATTACTAGAACAAGAAAAAGACTGTTATATCACAGTGCGCATTAAATGTTATAAAGCTTTTGGAAAAGAAAAATTGCGCACCGTCGATCGGATTTCAAATAATTGTTTTAAATAAATACTTACATTTGAAAAAATATAAGTATCATTTTAAATAAACTGAAGTAGAAATTTTAGCTGATCAATTGTAAACCATATGGTATGGGATATATTATTACATTGTGGAGAGAAAAACAAATGCAACTTTATTTTACGTTCAGATGAGAAGTGCCTCTCCTGTTGTTTAGCTTTTAGTCTAATAACGTTTAAGAGTTTATTCATAATATATCGATATATACATACACACACAAAATACTTGCTGACATAAACATATAACAAAATATAAGGAGTGTTGCAGCACTCGCTTATTATATTTACCACATGCAAATCTGATAACTTGAAATTGATATATAACAAATTATTCAAATATCTTTCATCTGAATAAAAAACCTATACTCACATGCAAATAAAAGTTGACTCCATGTTTGCATTTAATACCAATATATTGATGGAAGTAATAAATTTTTTCACTCAAAAGAAATGGTATTTTTCACTTAGAGTTAGTGGAACGTAGGCGTGACAGTGTCTCTAAACAATATTAAATTAACCAGAGTGAATGGCACAATAGTCTTTATTCATACAAAACACCTTACGCATCTATTTTCTAAATTTTGTAGCAAAAATCACATTTTGTTTGTTACATAAGTAAAAATAATGAATAAGAAACTCCAAGCTCAGTTTTTATATATGTACATCAGGAGTTTACCAACATCTCATTTCGCAGACATTTTTCACCAAGATCAATATATATATATATCGCGTTTCTCAAAGAGGTTTTGTGCGAATGAGAAAAAAGAAGTTTATGGAAGACGGAAAAAACCTCGTACTTGGACCATCACCGAATATCTCCACTTGAGAAATCCTGATGTGCATTATTCCTTATATAAAATATATTATACAATCAAATAACAATAATATAAATATATATATATACATATATAACATATATACATACATATATAACGATAAAATCTCTCTATATGTATGTTAAAAATAATTATAGTAACTTTGTCTGAAGTAACAATACTAGACAACAATCCGTTAACTTTTATTTGACAGGTCTCATTCAGCCTTTTTAATCTTTTGTTTGCTGAAAGCTCTGTAAAGTCCGATTAACGATGATGTCGTGCCAAGTGCTCCAACGTGCCATGTTTTTAAACGACCGCCCCAAAGTACGCCAGGTGGTAGGTAACTAATTGCATAGATCATATCCAATCCACAGCATGTGCACGCCAATATTAAATTTCGCCGTTGTACAATATATTTTTTCGGCGTCCTTCCATATAAAAAAATAATATATTATATGTTTATTTCTACATAGTTTTTTTGAAATAATAATACAATAATAAATTATATAACTCATCATATTTGAGAAAGATTGTTTCATATATTAAAGAATCTATACGTTACTTACTCTAAATGTGAAACATGTACATGTTTATAATTTTCTTGAAGTTTTACAAGCTGTCTAATTGATCTGGAACAGTAATTAGTTTATAGACCATTTTACTTGTCAGTTTTGAAATGTTTATGTTATGCTGTAACTGTGTAACTAATGTAAGTAGGTATTTTAACTTTAACATTTGTTTCTTATTTTGTTTGCAAGCTTAAAACAACATATTACACAATTTATATCTTGGCTTACCTTAGTAAAGACAGTTTTAACGAAAGTATCCACAATATAACTACAACAAGATCCCATTTGTTAACATTAATAGATACAATATTGAGTTGACCAGCCCAAGCAATATGCTCTATAGGAGAGGCAATTGTGTCTATCAGATTTTGTATCACTTGAGTCCATCTAATTAACCTGTCATGTTCCTATTGTTAAATTATACATATATGTAATTTAAATGTTTTTAGGAAAAAGTATTGTAATAAAATATATTCTTTAAATTTTCCTTAATATGCACACATACAGAGAAAAAAACATTTACACTTCGAACTGTATGGGGAATTACACTTTTAGCTTTATTGAAAAGATTTTAATTAATTATTTCACAAGTTATTGTACAAGAGTTAACAGACCTTCTTTCCCCATCCGTATTGTATCAAGTCAGTAAGTCTTGGCAGATCATCTAACAAACGCAACATTACTCTACATTTGCTCATTTGGCTTCCAAAAGTGATCAGTTTTTTTTCAACACTTTTTGACGAACATACAGTGAGCAGTTTCGCTGTATACGATAGAGTTTTTAATATCTTGTCTCGACCAGAATGCGTCTCCAAGTAATCATTTAGAGTTTGCAGATTCATCTCAATCACGTGTATTTACAATTGGAAGAATTAATTAAGGCACAGAAGAAGTAACTCTTGTAGTATCACTATACAAGTATCACAAATAGACCTTGTTGCAATACAAAGTCTAAAATAAAATTTAAAAATACATGTTTATAAAAACACATTGATGGTTAAACAAGTTTATTACGCAACAGACAACTAACGCGTAGAGAATGAACTGAGAATTTTGTCTTTATTGTTCTTCTACAGATACAATATCTACGTAAAAGAAAGTAGTAGATAAAATCAAAGTACAGATATTTTTTTACTTACGAGAATGACTCAGGATTTTCTCTTTGTGATTTAACACGATCTTTAACTTAATCCACACGAAACTTAGAAAAAACTTTACTTATTTACAAGAATGATTCGGAATTTCTTCTTGCAATTTAATTCCGGAATGTCACGTTCTATCAAAGTAACAACTCAAACAATCGACGTATATTGTCGTAGAGAAGCATGCTGACTTTCCGTATTTTTTTACGTGTTAAATAAAAAGTTTCATTTATTTCCATATGGATAAACATTGATTGTTCTTGCGTTTGCACCTGTCGTCACCTTCTGTAAACCGGTTGCCACACACACACGTCAGCTGAGTTCAGCATTGCAAATCGGAGATTTTATTCTTTTTTTTGAAAATCCGTCGGCAACGCACATCTACTTGCACCGTGTTATTTCACCTGCGTACGTAACCTGCGTCTGGTTATCACGTTACAGAACGAACAACCTCTCGCGGACACTCGCGGGTCCGTGAATATAGACTCTTGTCTGATTTGCAGAGACATCTGGCGGAATTTTTATTTGACGGTGTAGCGTTCCGACTGCCAGTATGTACTTGAAAATCTACATATACAGCGCGGTCTATTACGGGATCATTCAAGGATAGGAAGTGCATTTCTCGCAGCAACATTGAAGCGAATAATCACCAATAAATACGAAAGAATTCTGTCATTCTCCTTACGATTGCCGAGATCTCCAAACAACTCTTGTACGAATCGCGCGAATTTTACTTCTTCGCTTTCGATTTTACTTGTTTGCTGGACATAAGGATTTTCGGAATTAAAACCGCAGGTAAAAATAAAAAGACTCTGTGATATATCCATGAAAGAATTGATCTATTTTATAGCATTTTCATTTCGAGAAAAAAAGAAAAGGTGACTCTTATAATTATAACAAACACGTCGTCAAATACGAAGTAGAGTTTTGTTCACACATTCGACCTGTCGCGGCGTCTGCCTGTGAGAAGAGCCGCGGAATTAAATCCTCTGCGGTTCTACCGTTTTCCTTTTTCTCTTTTCTTTTATCGCGTCGTTTTGAACATCATTTATATAGGTGTTTTTATTCTATTACACTTTTCTCTCTCTCTCTCTCTCTCTCTCTCTCTAGCCTCTCTCTCTTTCGCTCTTTTTCTCTCTTTCTTTCTCTCTTTCTTTCTCTCACACACACACATTCTCTCTCTCTCTCTCTTTCTTTTTCCTATTGATCGATCTCACTCTTTTTCTACCCTTTTCCCCTTTCTCTCTCTCTCTATCTCGCTCTTTCTCTCTTTCCTATAATATATATTTATGTGTATATGTGCATCCTTCAGCCGGTTTGTTGCGAAGAAATTTCGTCACGCGCGCGCGAATTCTCTCATTTTTCAATTACAAAACAAGTAAAAATGGTCGATCGTGTCGTCGCATATTGTACAGATTCAGAGAAAAAGTAACGCTAAATATCGTTTAGGATTTTTAACGGATTCTCCTCCTCTGTTAAAACACAGCACGGACAAACAGACAGACAGACAAACCGACAGACAGACACACACAAAAGGAGACAGATTAAGATAAGATTACACAGACAAACGGTGGACTACATTGTCGACACAGTCGCGGTTTCTTCCCCTTTTTTTTTTTTTTTTTATATCACTTCTCCCCCTGTCTTTCTTCTCTACTTTCACAAAGTTTTGCGCGCTACATGCTCTCCTACGTGTATCTTCTTCCTATATTATTCACATTTTTGCATTTCGTCGTTTTCTCTTCTCTCCCGCGCTCGCGGTTTTTCTTTCTCTCTCTCTCTCTCTCTCTAGCTTCCTTCGCACGCTCACAAACACACGCGCACAAACGATCGCGCGCATATAACGTTCGCACATGAACTCGCGTAAAAACTTCATTTACGCACACTCGCACCGAAATTTCTGTTATTTTTTTTTTTTTATTTTTTTTTTTTAATTTGTTTCTTTTTTTTCGTCATCGATGTAGCTTCTTTTTTCCGCTTTGAACACTTTTTTGGGGAGGTGGGTTCCAGCCATTTTCTCTTTCCGCTAACGATTATTATACAAAATAATTAGAAAAATGTACAAAAATTCATAAAAATAGTAATAGTTACATAGTACAAGTTACTTTTGGATAATTATAATAGTGTATGTCCGTGTGTGGTGGGGGGGGGGATATACGTGTGTATGCATGTGTGTGATCGAGAAACGAGCATATGAAAGTACGATCCTACTGATAAATTGTTTCAACGAGACGGGTCAGAACGCGCCGTCGCGCACAGCTTTCCGAGAGAACGGGAAATCTCTGTTTTTCTCCTTTGTCCTCGGAAAACCGTTCCGACGATAATATCGCGCGCGCCGATAATTAATAAAATATTAAATATCGTTGCCCACGCGCATACATATACATATATATATACACGCGCACTGAATGTCCCATTATTACCGACTATACAATTAATGACAGAGATATATTTCACTAAAGAGAAATCTATAAAAATTGTTTTTCACAACGCACAAGAGATACAAACAAACAATATCGATTTGATCATTTTTCGTGCGATTGATACAAAAATAATTTAAATAATTAAATAACAGAAGAAATATTCCTTTTTTTTTCTCGCAATTTCTCAAATAAGCACGGAATTGTTTCTAATTTATTTTCCCGAAGAAATTTGTCATTAATAAAACATTCTGTAATAATGACCGTCTTATGCGCTCATTGACAACAATGTCCGCTCTTTCGGTCATCTATTATCGCATTTCCTCTCTCTGTCTTTCTCGCTCACTCACGCTCTCACATTCTGTCTTTCGTCGTAGGTCTATACACATTTATATGTACATACATTTATATATATATATATATATATATTTATATATATACTTTTACATATATACTATACGCGTGTATATCTGCGCAAAGATCATTTCTGTCCTGCTGCGTCCGCATCGTGTCGCATGCGTGCACGACGAGTTGCGAGGAATGGAGACAATAAAAATCCGAAAAAAAATGTTCAACTTCTTTTTTTTTTTTTTTTATATTATAAGCAAAACTGTTCCCGTAACGCGACGCGTAATTTCGCGAAACACTAGAGACTCTATGTGATATCTCTGGCAAAGCCACCGAGAGAGAAATTACGCAAAGCGGATGTGATGCAAATTTCAACGCGATCTCGTCCGCGAGGAGCGTGCAAATAAATTCCCTAGAATTTCCCCGAGGAGAGATCGCCGGTACAAAAGATTCACGTCGAAAGATGCGATCCGCGCGCGGTGCGACTGCAGCAGGTCGAAACTTTTATTCTACGCGAAACCGCACGCATCACGGCCCCCATCTCGCTTATATGCCCGATACATCTTAATGTTATTAATGCCACAATATATATTCTCCGCACGATTCGAGGTCAGCCGGCGAGGTAGGCGGCGAACGTCTTCTTTCCAGAGTAGAAGCAGCCCAGTTAAAAAAAACACCGTCTCTCCCTTCCACGCATTCAGGGTGCCGAGAACACACACTCTCTGGCTTTTCTCTATCTCTTTCTCTCTCGAAAACGAGGAGAATTGCAGATATACGAGGAGGCCAGAGAGAAATTGGACTCGGTTCCAAATGTGTGTACGAGGGATTCGGAAAATACGTTCGCCGTCCAACGCCAAGACGTGATCCGCCAATGTGGTGTCGCGTTATCGCGACCTCTCGTTAACGCAACGAGCGAGTTTTTTTGTTAATTTAACACGCTCGATGTCGACGAGTCCGAAAAAAACACTCGAACGATCGAGTAACGTCGATAAGAAATTTTTCATCGTCAGGAATATTCGAATCGTTGAACCGAACGGAGCCGAGTACCGTGGTTTTGTTTACGGCGAACGCTAAGTCTCGCGTTATCGTCTTAAATTTATCGTACACGGAACATTTAGCGTTTGTCGTGTATCGGGGGGGGAAAAACACGCTGCCGCGGAAAAAGTCTCTTTACGAGGGTCGTTACAACGCTTCACATTATCGTACGGAGTCGCACATACACACACACGCACACACATTATTAATAGTTCACACTTATACGCTGAATGAAACGTAAGGCGCGCGCGCACTCGTTCCCTGCATCACGCACAAACACGCACATACACAGCTCATCACACGCGTTATTTCCGCTTCCGTCACGCTCTACGTTCATTTTCGTACTCCCTATTCTCTTCTCTTCTTTTTTCTCGTTTCATACACGCACACACGTCAACATACACCCAAGCATAAATGTCTTTTTCTCTTGCGTTTTCACAAACATTCAAAAACACACTCGCACACATACGCACTCCCTTTCTCTTTTCCCTTCAGCTAAAATATTTGTAACAATATTCTTGCGACCAAAAAATAAACTCTATTATGTGTTACACGCTAATTAAGCTACGATTATCGATCGATAATTACGACTACGTTTCACGAAGGTTCCGTCGGACCCGCGAAAGAAGATGTATTGCGTGGGTTGCTTGGTTTGCTGTTTGCGGCGGCTCTCGTAGAATACTTTGCACGTTTCTCCCTCCCTCTTTCTATTTTTTTTTTAATCCGTCTTTTCTATTTCCTATCGTTCGTCGGCTTTCTCTGGACGAGACTCGAGCGATCGTTCTCGTTCGAAGGAAAGGAAGAAAAGCTAGGAGTCGCCGTCGAAGCGATCCGACGCATTTTTATTGCGTGTATTTACGAGCAGCTCCAATCTCTCCTTCCGAATGTTTTTTTTTTGTTTTTTATTTTTTTTTTTACTTGCAAGTATCATGGTTCCCTCGGGAAGCCAATCACAGTAAGAAGAACTCGAAAAACTATGCACTGCGCAGTGTGACACAGATGGATCTGATTTTCATCTAAAAACAAAAAAATATATGCACAAAAAAAGTATAAAAATGGTTTTAAAAAGTAAATGAAAAAAAGTGAATATACTTAAAACTAAATATATATTATACCTAAAAAACTAAAATACACGCAGAGATATTAAAACTTAATAACAACAAAAAAATATTATCAGCAGCAATTTGCCTGATAATTTCTCAAAAAGATTAATAATTAAAAATAACGTAACAAAAAAGATAGAACACACAATTGTTGGGCTAAAATTGTCAAAAGACAATTGTCCGTGATAAAATCCTTCTATAGATCCACCTCTTATCATCACCTTGTTGAGCGTCGATGTATGTACACGCGAGAAAACGCGCGAGGATCGCTAATGAAGGGATCAACAGATCTGTGTCCCTCGGATCTGAATAAGCGCAATCGAAAGGGAAAACACGTGGCCGCCTGTGTAAGCGCGGAAAATTCGGCAGGGGATGGATGAGGTCTCGAGAGAGTGTGTGTGTGTGTGTGTATCCCGGCCTTTTTTCGGCTGCTGGGTCGCGTGTTGACTCTCGCGGTTGTATTCGCTCTCGATTCTTCCGCGCCGAAAATAAACGCGCAAATGCCGCGCTAAAAAGTATTAACGGGTTTATATAAATTGAGCATCGTCGACAGAAGC